AAGCAGCAGAAAAAATCACTCTCAGCATTGTGGTCCTGTTTATGGGGAGTTTCAAATATAATGTATTTGTTTGGTGTGCTAAAGTTTTCAAGGGTTTGCTGAACAGAATGATGTAAATTCATTTTACTCTGAGCTTCTTTGTTACTGATCATCTGTGTTGAGCTGTTGGAGTCATCTCAGCTGGATGTCCACTTCTAGGAGAGTAGCCACAGAACTGAGTCAGTATGTCTGACTGATGAAGATCTAAAGTGTTTGAGACGACTCTTAACATGGTTCAGTTATAGCTTCCTATAACTTTTTGTTTATAGGTAGAGTATATTGTGCTTTTTTGTTGTGGTGCTATTAATTCTGCTCCCTAGGTTAGTTTGACATCACCCGCTTGTCAAAGGGGGGATTCCACACCAGGCTACGCTGTACACCCTCGGACACCCACCTGTTGCTGGAGCTGGTCTTTCCCCATCTGCAGCTTGTCCTCCTTTTCCGTCCTTTGTGCCCTATCCACCAACTCCCAGCCTCCTGGGATGTAAGACCTGATAAAAGCCACATTGCGCAGATGCCAGGGGTGGCTTTGATTTGAAGTGAACAGTCCGCCTCTGTGCCTCTTCATTTCCTGTTGACTATGTGTTAGCTTAAACTTTGAATTTAAAGACAGTTAACTCATTGTGAGTGTTGATTTATTATTAATTTTGTTTGAGGCACTTGTTTTGTTGACAGGATTTTTATGGGCTATAGTGTGTTTTATTTTCATACACCTTGTGTTTGTGCACCACATTCAGTTTCTTTTGTTTTCGAACACACTACTTTATGGGTGGGCAGCCTCCTGTGTTTTTGGTTAGGTAGGTAGTTTAGGTAGGCAGGTTATTAGTTATTTTTTTTATAGCTTTTATTTTAATAAGCTGTATATAAGCCAGTGGAGGGGCTCAGTTAAGAAAACAGTTTTTGTTTTATTTGGTTCATGATTTGGTGCCACCTGCTGTCCTTCCCTTTGTTCCTGGCCTGGTGTTCTCGTGTTGTTGTTGAATTAGTCACCTGTCTGTTTGAAGTTTTAATCTTTAAGTTGACTATTGGGTCATTGAAACAATAAAAGGTTTTGTTTCCAGATTATATTGGCATATGTTGCTTTCCTTACCCCTAGACCCCTGCTGGGTTGTAACAGAGCACGTTCATGTGAAAGAGAGGGTTGTTTAATTACAAGCAACATCGTCAGATCCATGAGTAAGGAACTTGACATATATGAGAAGGAACTGACACCTGCAGGTAAATTCAGTTGTAGTGACGTCCATAAAGTGATATTCAACAAGGTGCATGTAAACAAAACTACAATAGAAAAGAAAGTAAAAATAATTACCAATGTTTAAAGTCAGACTAATGTAATGAGTGCATGAATTATGAAGATTCTTTGTATTTTCACTCTTCAGTCTGATGATGAACAGAACTGTTTAACTGTTTTCTTTAAAAACCAGAGTGGAAACATGCAAGATGTCTACATGCAAATATCTACTGCTCGTTATTATTGATCACTTTATATGTAACTCTTTTGTCCCTGTCAGGATCCTGTAGAATGATGATCTTCTGAAGTTAACCTGTGCCGGAGCAGGTGTTCAGCGTCAGTTACTGGTGATTTACCCTGGTAACAAGTGAACCACTGTCATAACCCTGACAACCCGAGTTAAACCTGAGCTTGCCTCACTAACTACAAATCCTGCTTTGTAGAAACAGGTCTGAGTCAGCTGTTGTTGATGTCATCAGTGAGGGCTTGACACTACACTGTGAATGTTTGAATAATGTTTTCAACATGGACAAGAACAACACAATGATTTGTGTGTTATTAGTTCAAATAGATCTGATCACATTTATATAGAAATGTAGGTCATTTTTTGCCATACTGTGTAACCTTCACCTGTTACATAAGCTTTACTAGTTATGAGTGTGTGTCTCTGTATGGGCTCTACATCCAAAATCCATGGCTCCACGTCTTAATTTTTTACATTCATTTGAAATTTTTGAAGGACAGAGCATGATGTCAGACTCAGAAATTCAGACCTTCAGAAGAAATCACAGCAGCTGAAAACAGAACACTACATACTGTAAACAGGGAGATTTGTTTAAGTCCTTCAACCTGTTGGCTCTGAGCTCTGGTCTGAGCATAACAGGGACAGAACTTCTGAGAGTTAAGCTCTCCTGACAGCAGCACCTCACAAGATGGGTGTGTTTTCCTTTCGGTCTGTCCTTTGTGTATGTGTGTGTGTGTGTGTGTGTGTGTGGTGTTGTGTTGTGTGTTGTGTGTCTTACCTTCTCATCATTACAACAGCAGCAGCAGCAGCAGCGGATGAGAACCAGGATGACCAGCAGCAGAACCATTCCTGACAATACACACAGACAGAGGACAGGTAGTCAGTGATTCAGATGTAGGACTGTATTCATGTCTCATACAGTTGCAGTCAGACCCTGTTTACGGCCGCCGCTCTGTTCACTTCTGTTGTGCCTAATTTTCCTGTCTGCCAAGCTGCCTGCACAGTCCACCCAGATGCTCCACCCTCTCTGTCCTGATTGGTGCGGCCTCCAGGCTCTTGGCAGCTCCGCCTTCAGCTCACCTGGGTTCCTGATTGGTGCGGCCTGTTTGCAGCTGGCCAATCCCAGCCGCCCAATCAGGAGCCAAACGCTACAAAACTCCTGCCAGCCTGTCAGTCCGGGCGGCTGACTGCTAGTGGCAGCTCGCCTCTTTGTTGGAAGTTTGTTTTTTGTGAAAAGCCAAGAAAGCAGATACTGGTAGCTTGTTGTGTGTTTTGTGTTTTGTACTCCTGGTAATCTGGTAGTCTTTGAAGCTTGGAAGTGGGGTCAGGTTTTAGATTTTTACTAATAGACTGATTCTGCTGATTCCTCCACCTTGTAAAATGACTTTTGTTATATACACTAGGTGCAGGGGTGCTGTTCCTGTTGTGTTTTGGTTTTTAGTTAGCTTTGGTAGCCAGCCTTGTTTTTCCTTTTACTTTGAATTAGTTAAATAATTTTATTGATTAGCTCCTAGAGAGATCCTCCTTTTGTTATATTCTGTTTTTTGCTTTGAACAAGCACCCACCGGCCGCGTTCCTTGGTTTATTTTGTCCATGTTAACCATTATTTTACAAATTTATGTTACAATAAACAACCTTATACCTATTAACAACTGGGTTTTGTGTTGCTTCCCTTTCCCCGGTTGTAACATAAGTGGGGGCTCGTCCGGGATTCCTTTTACGGATCTTAAAATACCGTGTTGTAAAAGACCCTCACACCAAAGACAGATTCATGACAGTTCCAGGCAGTTTGCCTGATACAACATCAAATGTGTGTCTATAGCAGACAGAAATGTCCAGGGTTAGAATGTTTATGATGCTGCCAACAGTGAAAGAGTGTTCACTGTGGATGGATGGATGGATGGTTGGATGGAATTGCCAAAACCAAGAAGATAAAGAAATTATGTGAAGCTGTTGTGTAGACTAAATTTATTTTACTTTAGACACAAGGGTTAAGTGTTTTGCGTAAATGACAGGTGAAGTGCTGCTCAGAAAAAAGTAAAAAACAGCATGGTGCAACTGAGAAAAACTATGCTTGGTGAATCGACAGTTGTCTGAAGAAGAAGTGGGGAAAGTTAAAGTCTAAACTTTTATTTTCTTAGGCATGTTTTACAAATCATCAGAGTGTCTTTGGTATTTAATCCCACTCACCAATGAAGATGAAGAAGACTGCAAAAGAACCGATGTCCCAGTCAGACTGGAATAACTGCTTGCTCTGCAGTCTGGAGACCACATCATTGAACTGATCCTCAAATTCCTGCTGGATGTTCCTCTGCTCCATCTCTCCGTCTGCTCTCAGAGACACACACAGAGGACACACACTACAGTGTCCATGAGCCTGCACAGTTTCATTCACACATCACAGCAGCTACCTGACAGCTACAGCTGCAACATCTCATCTCGCTGTGCTGCAGAACAGAGAGGTTCAGGAGATCCTTTGTTCCCACTGCCATCAGGCTATACAACACCTCAGCCAAAGGAAGTGGACTAATCTAATTATTATTTATTATCTATTATTAACTGTTATTATTATTATTATTATTATTATTATTATTATTATTATTATTATTATTATTATTATTATTATCATCATTATTATTATTATTACCAATGAGCTACTGGACACATGAATTTCCGCTAGGGATATAAATAAATATATATATATATATATACACACACACACACAGACATCTTATATGTGAGAATGTAGATTTATTGTTTCATGCTTCCTGGGACCGTTGTAATATTTGGATTGACACAGACTACTGATCATGACAGAGGTTGGTTGTAATTAAAAACAAAATGTATTATGAAAAGACAACATACATAGCACAAAAAATGAATGAATCTGAAATCATATGGAGAGAGAGGGACTGCAGCTGTGACTCCATTCAAGACTTTAAAGTGGGGACTGGAAGCTTTAGAGTAGGAGAAGAGGTTATACAATAGCTGTGCCTCAGGAACCAACATCAGTCATGAATGTGAGACATAAATATGTCAGAGCAGAACTGCAGCTCAGCATAAAAAAAACATTAATCAGCACATTCTGCACAGACCTCCCTGTGGTCTGTTCAAAGTTTTCCATATCTGTCTTAAAACAATAGTCAGGTGTGATCATTGCTCTTGTTCATACTAGCCATTAAAATTTCCCTTCATAATGCACTTTTACATGTATGTGGTCGGGGACTCAATTCTCATTCAAAATGCTGGTTCTGTGCAAAAAAATATGTTCCACAGTAAATTTGAAGTTAATATTTAAATAAAAATTTAATTAAATTCAGTATTTGTGTTACTTTCTACAACGGAGTATTAGGGCCATATTGACAAAAAAATCAGAAATCTGAAATTTCAAAAATAAAATTGTAATTTTTTGAGAAAAAAATCATAATATTTCAAGAGAAAAGTAGTAATATTATGAGAATAAAGTCATAATATTATGAAAATTAAAAATGTAAAATTTTGAGAGAAATAAAATAATTTTTAGGAATATTACATAAACCAATCAAACAGGTGAAATGACATTCAGTGGCAGCCTGAGCTGTTTCTGTTTGTCTGTCTAACAACAGAATAGACTCAGTTTCTTCGCAATCTTTTCAATGTCCTGATGATGATGATGATGATTCAAAAGATGAAGTTTCTCCTTATTTGTGAAACCTGCTAAAGTAGAACTTCACAGGATGCTTCTGATATTTATGGAAAATAAGACACTGGATCTGTTGTATGCAAACGTCAAGGAGGTCACTGCTACACTGCTTCAGCTCTACCACCACTTAGCAGATCAGATCATAATCTGTTTTTTCTTCAGCCTTCCTACAAACCCTGTGTACTGAGGCAGGCTGCAACCACCCGATCATTCAGGAACTGGACCCCAGAGGCCAGTGAGTCTCTAAAAGACTGTTTTGAGTGCACAGATTGGAATGTCCTGTTGGAGTCACAGGAAAATGATAAAAACAAGGACCCTGACCTTGATAGAATGGTTGAATGAACCACAGACTACATTAACTTCTGTATGGACACTGTAATACCAGCAAGGACTGTACACTGTACACCTGTTCTCTCTCTCACCACAGCATGTTAGGCTGGGTGACTGTGTCTCAGGGACAGTGATGAGCAGCACTGGACAGCATTGGTCTAAGCAGGCGCCCCATATGTAGAGGCTACAGTCCTCGCTGCAGTCAGCCCCGGTTCGAGTCCCGCATCGGACTGCCCATCATGTCATTCCCCCTCTCTCTGCCTCCCCATTTCCTGTCTCTCTATACTATCCTGTCCAATAAAAGGCACAAAGGCATAAAAGCCCAAAAAAATATACTAAAAAAAACATTAAACTTGTCCTTGAGGGTTTGTTTTTCATTTTACATAACAGGTGACAGTGTGATATTCATGATGCTCAGAGCGCATCATCATCATCATCTTCCATTAAGAATCACAACAGTGGAGAACCACATGTGAAGCGGAATTTAATCAAACCACAATGTTACATTCAGGTCCATTATCAGCCGTAGCAGGCAGGGTTAATGTTCTTCCTCCAGACAAAAGCCTTATTATGTGATTTAGAAATAAAGCCCAGTCTGTATTTTATTGCTCGCTTCCATCCATCCACAGCTAAAACAAAAGGCCAAAAGGCCACAGCAGACGCTATGACGTCACAGTGGGAAAAACACAGGTGTAAACAGTTAAAACGGCTGAATTCCTTTTAGCTGCTTCTGTTTCATTTTCTCTGTCACACCATCAAAGCTTTGTCAGTGTTTTAAACTGACATTTAAAACACTGACAGTGGTGAATGGGTTCACGTTTGCTCATCAGCTCTGGAAGCACTAACAAACAAAGCTGAGTGGGATTCACGTTAGTAGTTGCCATTCACTCCGTGTGGAGTCTACAGTGAAAACACACATTCCAACACTCTTACAGCAAACACACACAAACTTTTCGGGAGTGAATCAAACACACTTCACTTCGTGTTGATTGTAACTAAGGTGAATCATTAGACATGATTGATGCTGCTGGTGTATCAGTGTCGTTCACTCGAACGTTTTAAAGATAAAACTTGACAACATACATTTGAATAAATTCATCAGTTATTCGTTATGTTATAAACGCTACAGTATGTAATATATGACGTTATTCAGAGCAGCAGGTGCCTACCTGTCAGTAGCGTCGTTTGTTTTAGTCTTTTTCCTTCCGGGATGAAGGTCTACCTGGCGCACCTGTTAATCACTCACCTGACACCGCTCCACCTTCCTCCTTCCGCATTTAAAATAAACGCTTTCCGACAGAGGGGTCAAAAATAAGCCACTAGGGAGTGGTACACTGCACACACAGCATGACACTGACGCATATGTGGCACAGCACCGGCTACCTACAGTATCTGCCAGAGAGACTGGAATCATCAGCTGTTTATAAGTAACACATAACATCTGCATATTATAATTAGCAGTGACACATGTCAGTGAGAACTAGGCTGGTGAGAAGCGGTCAGGGGTGGACACTAACTAAGTACATTTACTTTAGTACTGTACTTCAGTATATTTTCCAGTATCTGCACTTTACTTGAGTTTTATTTTTTTAGAAACCTCTGACTTTTACTCCTCTACACTTAAAGACTAATATTGTACTGTTGACTCCTCTACATTTCATTTCAAGTACTCTTACTTTGAAGCAGAGCTGTTAGTCAGTGAATGAATTTTATTTTATTTTGAAAATGTGATATATCATACACTGTGTTCATCACAGGAGAAAATCCAATCGTAGCCAACTCCTCCACTGTCAGTCATGTTTGAACCTGTCAGCGTCCTAACAATGGCGACGTTAGATAAAGATGAGGCAGAAGATTCTGCACTAAAGACCATGGTCTGATCTGAAGTCTGTTAAGGTTTAGAAACAAAGAAAGATTCCTTTAGTTTGAAATGCTTTCTGTGTTTACCGAGACCAGACTTCATCACCGACTTAAAGAAGAAATAAGAAATATAAGAAATATGAAAACAACAATGGCTTCTAAATTGATTCAATTGTTTTTATTTCCATGTCTGCAGTCTTTGTATCATACTCTCTCTCTATCTCTCTTTATCCTACAGGTTCTACAGTCAGTCAGTAGGTTGTCTCAGAGTCATTAGGTTCTGTAAATGTAGAACAATACAACAGTATTAACTGTGTTGACATGAAAAATGTACATTTGAATAATTCAGTACTTTAACTCAAGTAACAATCTGACTGAACAACTTTCACTCGTATTGGAGTCATATCTGACCGGAGGATCTGTACTGTCACTCAAGCCATGGAGCTGTGGACTCAGTTCACCTCTGGAAGTGGTAGATGTCAAATAAAATATCGCACACTGTTTCTAAGAGCCACAAGCTGGTAAAACAGCAGCAGCTTATCAAAAAACTCCAGTGGCAGACCTCTGAATCAATTCATTTCTCTAAAGACTCTTTGGACATAATGTCAAAGTTTTACTTAAATCAGAGTCTGTCATTTTGAAAGCTACAGTCTCTAATATTTGGTCTTTTATTGACATAAATCTGGAGGATACATGGCTCAGTGCTGCATTCTGCATCAACTGTAGATAGACAACTGCATCATCCAACCAAGCAAATACTGAACTACAGTAAGGTTAAAGGAAATAGACATGGATGACCCTGAAAAGCATTGGCCTAACTTTTTTAATATTTTACTCATATTCCAGAGTTAGCTGAGGTTTGGATCAACAACTGTTCCCACAGTACATTTTTGGCTGTATGTTCTAAGTTAGTTGACCATGGTCCAATGTTAGAAGTATGAACAGGACCAATTATCACATTTTTCACACATTTTTTTTATTGACAATCTTTACAAGAGTCAAAAAGGCATGACTGACATTTAGGATAAATGCAGAAACAATAGAAACAACTGAGAAAGCAGTGATAAGAATAAGAACACTATAGGTCAACAAGACTGATGAAAAATAATAAACTTAAACTTAAAGATAAAGGGACAAAAATAAATGGTCAGTCAGGTATCAAAGTGCATATTCATATAGATGTTGGACGTTTTTAATATAACAGCATTTCACATATTTTTTATATAATGTAATTTCATTTAGACATCAAATGTAGGTGTTCTTTTTAAGAAATTACATTTTATATTTTTATATGTTAGAGTTAGAATATTGTGATTATTGCATGTTATCCAATACTGGAAAGCCTCCCATGTTTTATGGTCTCAGTGTTTGAATTGCAGAAAATAGAACTATTATGGTGTAAGAGGTCATTACGAGGATATATCTTGTTCAATATCTTAAAATGAATTTCTTTCGCATTTGGGGGACTGGATTTTGGTTCTTACCTTTATTAGACAATTGTTGGTGTATTCTCCAGAGAGAAATAATATGGTCAAGTGGTACACACAGGGGTACAAGCTATAAAAGAAAAGGGCACATCAAGTATCAAGCCTTACTGGAGCAGGACTTTGATCCAGTATGGATGCAGCCTCTAATAAGACTTCAGATTGATTGTGAGGTGAGTAATGAAGTGAAATGATGTCTGAGGTCCAGCCTTAAAAGGAGGAACTCAGGAGGAGTGGACCACTTCAGCAGGTGTTTACAAAATATTATACATGAATTATTATTATCATTATTCTTATAATTATTATTACTATTTGTAAACAGAATATGGTTTTCATATAGAATATAAGTAATCCATGTCTACATGATGTATGACGTTAAATAACCTTCTTTAGAGGTGTGATACATTCTTTAAAATGTCAGTGTTACTTGATCTGTACAACAACGAGGTTGTCATAGTTACTGCGCTACGTTTACAAAATAAATATTTGGTTTATTATAAAATAAATAAATAAAAATCAAAACTTCAGCAGGTGTTTAATGACTGAAACTTGTTATATTGGAATTGATAAATGAATTGTTTCAGTTTGTCATGTTTTGTTATGTTATGCTTTGGAATTATTTGATTGGTTCAGCAGTATGGATGGGCGGGACCCAGCCTGTACGGAAATGAACCAATGAACACATCACGTTTCAGTTGTCGTCACATTTTCCCTACGTGGAAGCAGGAAGTGTTTTCCTCCCGGTCTTCCGGGTTGGAGTTCGTGTAGGAGCCGAACTTGTTGTGTCGGAGCGATGGCCGAGGATCCTGCGCTGTCTCTCCGGGTCTCGGAGATTAAGAACCCGGCGGGTCTTTTCGAGCGCTACAACACAGACGAGATTCGCGGGATCGAGCGCAAAGTCCGCGGGGAGATCGAGCAGAAGAAGGAGGAGCTAAGGCAGATGGTGGGGGAGCGCTACCGGGACCTGATCGACGCCGCCGACACCATTGGGGAGATGAGGCAGTGCTCGGAGAGCGTCGTCCAGTCCATCCAGGACATGCACCAGTACTGCCACCGGCTGAAACAAGGCAAAGCCGGTGTGAGCGGCTGCAGACAGGAGGTGAACGCTTGACCTGATTGCACTTGTGTCGGTGATACACCTGCATCAACTGAGGAACACTAAACTTCATTTAAAAATGTGGCAATTCATTGTCATATAAATTATATGCAAATATTCACCGCAGTTATATTGTTACTTTACACGTAATGCGACCCATCAGCTGATGTGACCGTTATAGAGCTCATCTGTCAATAATCAGCTAATAGGAAATGTCCTGCATTAATCACAGCAAAAATATCCACCTCTGTTCACCTGCAGTGGTGAACTGGTGGATCACTACTGTGCCAAATTCACCAGAACACTATCTAACACTTGTTCTGCTGGTGTTTGTGTTTGCTGACTTCCAAAGGAGCATTAAATCTTAATGTTTCTGAATGGAAATTGGGGACTTGTCCTCATAAGAATGGATAGCACTTAGTTTAAATCAGGGGTCTCCAACATGTGGGTCACGAGCCACAAGCAGCTCACCCCCTGTTTCAGAGCAGCTCACATAAAGCTTCAGAGACTATAGTCTGTACAAACCATGGATGTATAGTATAGTTTAAGTAACACAACTTCACTCAGTCAATCTGCTTCTAATCAACTAAATCAAATGCACAGTCTTCAACACCAAATCATTATTTGTCAGTTGACTGTCAAATTAGTTATGATGTCAAGTTTGTTTGCATCAGATAGAGAGAGAGATAGATAGCTATTTTATAGATATTTTAACTTCCTGTTTGATATAAATCATTGATGAACTGACAACTATCACTGATCACTGACTGAGGAGCTTCTTCTTCTCTGGTTTCTAATCAGATTTATGGAGGTGTATTTACAGTGGTGTCTGTGTGTTCAGGTCTGACTGAATCATGACTCTGATTTTTGTGTGATGTGAGTTTCAGATGATTTTTGGATGTTGATATTTGATGACTTATTCATTTGATTTGTTGGGGATCAGTTTGAGTGTTTTGATACAATATGTGAATAAATGTGACCAGTAATATAAGACATGAGGAGCTCACAGACCCTTTGAGACCCCTGAGTCAAACCAGTCAACTTTAAAAACGATTCTGTACTATTGGATGTATGAAATGAAATCCACACTCATCTAATGCATTATAATATTACTGTACATCATTACATTGTCTTGTGTTTGTGTTATATCATTGCTTGTGTTTTCACCAGACATATAAATGTGTATGTGTCTCCACTTGTAGAGCCAGAGGCACTGGCAGGAGAAGTTTTACACCATGGCCTCCCAGATCAAGCTCCTCCTGGAGATCCCAGAGCGCATCTGGAGCGCCATGGAGGCATCCCAGTACCTGCAGGCCACCCAGCTCTACCTGCTGTGCTGTCACCTGCACAGTCTGCTGCAGCTGGAGACTGCGACAGGCGGCCATTACAGCCCCATCCTGGCCCGCTTCCCCATTCTGGTCCGACAGGTAGCCACCACGGGACACTTCAGGTATTGGATGTTTTTTATGTGTAGCTCCTTTTACACAAAGTCGACATGTTGCTGCTCCTGTGTGTGATTTTGGATACCATGGTCCAGATCTGTTAACACAGCATCAGCATCTGTCCTGCCATGCTGGCTTTAGCTTTTACCCAAACGTCGATTTGGCTCTGGCCCTGTTCAGACCTGTTCACGTCTGTTCAGACCTGTTCACATCTGTTCAGACCTGTTCACATCTGTTCAGACCTGTTTAGACCTGTTCACGTCTGTTCAGACCTGTTCACATCTGTTCAGACCTGTTTAGACCTGTTCACGTCTGTTCATACCTGTTCACATCTGTTCAGACCTGTTCACATCTGTTCAGACCTGTTCAGACCTGTTCACATCTGTTCAGACCTG